ATCATCATCAATATCATTGTCATTATCATTATTATTGTCATTTTTATTGTTCTCATTATGACATATTATCATTTTTCATTATTGTTATTATGATTATTTTTTATTAATCATTTGTCATCAATACTTATGCGTAGTTTTCTAAATTCACGTGCAATACCGCGCAGCTGCATCAACATGATAAATAACCCAGGCAGCCGTAAATCACACAAAGCCTTGCGCGTGTAAGCAACAAGAGATAAATAACGACAGCTCGCCGGGACACGTAAACTCGGTTTGTCAGTTTTGACTTTTGTTTTTTCTCTCTCTCTTTTATGTTTGTCTTTTCTGTTTCTTTCTTTTTTTGGTCTTTCCTTTTGTTTATTCCTTTGTTGTTTTCTCTTTTTTCCACATCCTTCCCACAATTTCTTATATGCCTTTTCTCATCTTCTTCGTCTTCATTGTTTTGATTTCTCATTCACTTCGTGTTCTTTTTCGACTTCCTTTTTGGCGTCTTCAGAGGGGAGACAGAGAGAGAGAGAGGGAGACAGAAAGAGAGAGAAAGGGAGACAGAGAGAGAGAGGGAGACAGAGAAGAGAGAGAAGGGAGACAGAGAGAGAGAGAGAGAGAGACAGAGAGAGGGGGGGCAGAGAGAGAGAGAGAGATGGAGAAAGAGAGAGAGATAGAAGGAGAGAGAGAGATAGAAGGAGAAAGAGAGAGAGATAGATAGGAGAAAGAGAGAGAGATAGGAGAGAGAGAGAGATGAAAGAGAGAGAATAGAGAGGAGAAAGAGAAGAGATAGAAGGAGAAAGAGAGAGAAAAGGAGAGAGAGAGAGAGAGAGAGAGAGAGAGAGAGAGAGAGAGAGAGAGAGAGAGAGAGAGAGAGAGAGAGAGAGAGAGAGAGAGAGAGAGAGAGAGAGAGAGAGAGCGAGAGAGCAAGGGCCAGCGAGGTGCCACGCCCTATACACGGGTGCCAGTTTGATGAACGAGTCGGCGGCACGCATTGTCACGTGATATCGGGTTGTCGTATGTATTCGCCCGCCCACACGCCCTCGCATTAGGCGTCTTCTCGTCACCGTTCAGAGCGGGAGAAACGGGATTGATTGGCTAGGCGACCGGATAGGTAGAGAGGGTAGGGAGAGGGGGATGGAGGCAGGGGGGCGGAGGGTAGAGGAGGGTTAGGGGTGAAGGGGGCGTTCGGGGAGGGTTAGGGGTGAGGGGGACGTCAGGGGAGGGTTAGGGGTGAGGGGGCGTCCGTAGGGGAGGGTAGGGGAGGGGGGCGTCCAGGGGAGGGGTTAGGGTGAGGGAGGCGCTAAGGGAGGCTAGGGTGAGGGGGGCGTTCGGGGAGGGTTAGGGTGAGGGGGGCGTTCGGGGGAGGGTTAGGGGTAGGGGGGCGTCCAGGGGAGGGTTTAGGGGTGAGGGAGGCGTCCAGGGGAGGGCTAGGGGTGAGGGGATCGTCCAGGGGGAGGGCTAGGGATGGGGGGCGTCCAGGGGAGGGTTAGGGGTGAGGGGGGCGTCCAGGGGAGGGTTAGGGGTGAGGGGGGCGTCCAGGGGAGGGTTAGGGGTGAGGGGGGCGTCCAGGGGAGGGTTAGGGATGAGGGGGCGGTTCGGGGGAGGGTTAGGGTGAGGGGGGTGTCCAGGGGAGGGTTAGGGGTGAGGGGGGAGTCCAGGGGAAGTTAGGGGCGGGGGAGGGGGAGGGCTAGGTGGGGGGCGTCCAGGGAGGGTTAGGGTGAGGGGGGCGTCCAGGAGGGTTAGGGGTGAGGGGGGGGCGTGTCCAGGGGAGGGTTAGGGGTGAGGGGGCGTTCCTTAGGGGTGAGGGGGCGTCCAGGGGAGGGTTAGGGGTGAGGGGGGCGTCCGGGGAGGGCTAGGGGTGAGGGGGGCGTCCAGGGGAGGGTTAGGGGTTAGGGGGGGCGCCAGGGAGGGTTAGGGGTGAGGGGGGCGTCCAGGGGAGGGCCAGGGGTGAGGGGGGCGTCCAGGGGAGGGGGGGTGAGGGGGCGTCCAGGGGAGGGCTAGGGGTGAGGGGGGCGTCCAGGGGAGGGCTAGGGGTTAGGGGGGCCACCAGGGGAGGGTTAGGGGTGAGGGGGGGGAGGGTTAGGGGTGAGGGGGCGTCCAGGGGAGGGTTAGGGTGAGGGAGGCGTCCAGGGGAGGGTTAGGGGTGAGGGGGGCAGGGGAGGGTTAGGGTGAGGGCGGCGAGCAGGGAGGTTAGGGGTGAGGGGGCGTGGGAGGGCTAGGGATGAGGGGGGCGTCCAGGGGAGGGTTAGGGGTGGGGGCGTCCAGGGGAGGGTTAGGGGTGAGGGGGGCGTCCGGGGAGGGTTAGGGGTGAGGGAACGTCGGGGGAGGGAGGGTGGGGGGGTGCAGAAGGAAGTGTTATTGATACCTGTAATATTTCAGTTTCATTATTGACAGTATTGATATTTATTTAAAAAATGTATTGTAGTCGTTCTAGCGATAAATAGTAATAAGTAATGATAATGTTGATGGTAGTGGGGGTGATGGTAATGACGATAAATGAGAATAATTGTGATAATAATGATAGTTATGATAATAATCTTTATTATTTTTGTTATTATTTCTAGTAGTAGTGATATAATGATGTTGATATTACTATAGATGATGGTAATAATGGTGGTCATAATAATAATGAAAATGGTAATGATAATAATTATAATGATAATGATAATAGTGATAGTAATAATAATGGTAATGATGATGGTAATGATCAGATATTAATGATGATAATAGTAATGATAATGGTAATGATCATGATAATAATAATGATAATAGTGGTCATGATAATAGCAATGATAATGCTAACAGTAAGAATATTGATTATCATGATGATTATCAGAGAGCGCATGTCTCCTCCGTCACTGACGCAATAGAAATATTCGCACTTGATGAATTACACTAAAATTACTTCCTTCCGTTAACATGATAATAGTCACCACTGTTGATAGTGCAAGATGCAATCATTTAAAAAAATCCTGGATCCGGATCATCACCAAAATTTAAATACATCTATTTTAGGGTAAAATACACCTCTGGTTCTGTTCATATCTTTTTGAGTTGTCCTACAAA